TGGCTGGGAGAGAGGGCCCAATATAATGGCTTGGGAGTATGTTGATCTAAAGGGAAGAAGCTGAAAATGTAAGTAGAGAGTTAGTTTGGGCCAAGTTTAAACACTGCGACTTGGAAGCATAGAATCAAGTTGCCCTGAAAGTATGCTCTGATTAGCAGCAGTTGCAAGTAAATTTTTAAAGGAAAAGAAGAGACAAGTTTCTAAGTTGTTTACCGAGAAGTTACAGTAAAATGATATAAGCTAATTATTGGCTATACATTGTTCTTTGTATCAAGAAGTTCCAGGAACATGAAGATAACAGGTGAAGCAGCTAGTCTGAAAACCACAAGGAAGAAAAGAAAGAACAAAATATCTTCAAATAATTGCCCCTGGGTATGGGTGGGGGCATGCGATTGAAGTCTCATACTCATTTGTCTCTGGGCCTGCTACATTTTTGCATACTTCACATAGCTCTTACTACTCTGAGCTATTTTTCTCTTTCATTTCTCCCTTTTGATCAGAATTTTTCTCTTCTTAAAGTAGTGATGATTAGCCAGGTGGGGGCCTCATGCCTATGATCCCAGCACTTTGGGAGACTGAGGTGGGCAGATCACCTGAGGCAGATCATCCTGGCTAACATGGTGAAACCCCATCTCTACTAAAAATACAAAATTAGCCTAGCGTGATGGTAAATGCCTGCAATCCAAGCTACTTGGAAGGCTGAGGCAGGAGAATCGCTTGAGCCTGGGAGGCAGGGTTGCAGTGAGCTGAGATCACACCATTGCACTCTAGCCTGGGCAAGAAGAGTGAAACTCTGTCTCAAAAAAAAAAAAAAAAAAAAAAAAAAAAAGCCAGGCTCGGTGGCTCATGCCTGTAATCGCAGAACTTTGTGAGGCCAAGGCAGGTGGATTACTAGGTCAGGAGATTGAGACCATCCTGGCTAGCACGGTGAAACCCTGTCTCTGCTAAAAATACAAAAAAAATTAGCCAGGCGTGATGATAAGCGCCTGTAGTCCCAGCTTCTTGAGAGGCTGAAGCAGGAGAATTGCTTGAACCCAGAAGTCAGAGGTTGTGGCGAGCTGAGATTGTGCCACTGCACTCCAGCCTGGGTGACAGAGCCAGACTCTGTCTCAAACAAAAAAAGAGAGAATGCAACTGTTTGTCTCTTCTCTACCTATGACCGGGAAGCCCCTCCCTGCTTTGAGTTGTCCTGCCTTTCAGACCAAACCAAAGTACATCTTACATACATTGATTGATGTCACATGCTTCCTTAAAATGTATAAAACCAGGCTATACCCACAAACACCTCAGTACCTCCTGAGGCTGTGTTACAGGCGTGTTCTTAACCTTGGCAAAATGAACTTTCTAAATTGATTGAGACTTGTCCCAGATACTTTTTGATTTACATTTTAGACATCTAGAAAGATAAGGCATAATCAGTTTAAGAATTAAAAATATTATGCAAATAAGGACAATTATTATTTGAGACAAGATCTCTCTCTGTTGCACCGGCTGAAGTACAGTGGTGCAATCACAGCTCACTGCAGCCTCAACCTCCCAGGCTCAAGCAATCCTCCCCCCATGCCTCCTTAATAGATGAGACCACAGGCACATGCCAGCATGCCTGGCTAATTGTTTTTTTCTTTCTTAGAGCTGGGTCTTGCTGTGTTGCCCAGGCTGGTCTTGAACTCCTGGCCTCCCAAAGTGCTAGAATTACAGATGTAAACCATAGCACTTGGCTTTAACATAACATGATTTTTCGAGTTTAAATTCCTGAAAGCAATTTTGAAATTACTATACAAGTACCCTCCCTAATGTCTTCTCCAGTTGTCCCGGGTCCCAAGTACCCATATGGCACTCAGAATGGCTATAAAGGGCAGTGACCATCTGGGTCCCAAATTTACACACCAGGTGTAGAGCTTAGGACAGAGGGCAGAGCTGTAGAGATACCTAGAGGGGCCAACCCTTCCCAGCATGGCCCCAGGAGGCACAGCTGGGCCAGGAAGGACATCCTGGGTTTGGGCCTGCCCTGCAGCTAGTTCCTTGGTGCTATGGACATACCAGTGTCTTCAGGCCTCACCAAGGCCACCTGTCTAAGCCCTAGAATCTAAAGGCTCAAAAATCAAAGATGTTAGCTCACAGTAAAATGTATTCAAGTTCTGAGGGAAGCCCAGCAGCCAGCCCTCACCACTTGAGCTCACAGACGAATTAAGCAGGTATCAAAAATATCACAGAAGCAACAGTTTTTGTTTTTATTGTTGTTTTTGGGGGGTTCTTTTTGAGACAGAGTTCACTCTGTCTTCCAGGCTGGAGCCCAGGGGCAGGATCTTGGCTCACTGCAATCTCCACCTCTCAAGTTCAAGTGATTCTAGTGCCTCAGCCTCCTGAGTAGCTGGGATGACAGGTGTGTGTAACCACACCCAGCTAATCAAGTGATCCATCCACCTCCACCTCCCAAAGTGCTGGGGTTATACGTGTGAGCCACCACATTCAACTGAAGCAACAGTTTTACAATCTGCTAAAACATCTAGCAGAGACAGTATACATCTGTTTGACCAATAGACCTAGGTAAAAATGTCTGAATTATATTTAGTACTGATAATTTTGAATGCTTTCTAATTTAATTTTACCAACAATTAAAAACTAGTTTTGGCCAGGCACGGTGGCTCATGCCTGTAATCCCAGCACTTTGGGAGGCTGAGGTGGGTGGATCATGAGGTCAGGAGACCGAGACCATCCTGGCTAACACGGTGAAACCCTGTCTCTAATAAAAATACAAAAATTAGCTGGGCGTGGTGGCATGCACCTGTAATCCCAGCTACTTGGGAGGCTGAGGCAGGAGAGTCACTTGAACCCAGGAGCTGGAGGTTGCAGTGAGCCGAGATCACGCCATTGTACTCCAGCCTGGGCAACAGAGTGAGACTCCATCTCAAAAAAAAAAATAAATAAATAATAAAAACTAGTTTTATTTACCAAACGTTACTAAAAATTATATGAACTTGAAAAGCATTTGGCCTTATTTACTTAATTTATGAGTGCTCACTTATTTATAATTCAACTTGGTACCATGTAGACAATATAAAAACACAGCCATGTACACAGATACACATAAAAATAGACACAGACACAAATTAAGATGTTTACACCTTTGGCTGGGTGCAGTGGCTCATGCCTCTAATCTCAGCAATTTGGGAGGCCGAGGCAGGCAGATCACTTGAGGTCAGGAGTTCAAGATCAGCCTGGCCAACATGGCAAAACACCATCTCTACTAAAAATACAAAAACTAGTCTGGCGTGGTGGTGCGCACCTGTAGTCCCAGCTATTCAGGAGGCTGAGTCAGAAGAATCACTTGAGCCCAGGAGGTGGAGGTTGCAGTGAGCCAAGATCATGCCATTGCACTCCAGCCTAGGCAACAAGTAAGACTCTGTTCCCCACCACCAAAAAAAAAAGATTTTTATATCTTTGATTTTTAAATTTTAGTTATCAGACAGGTAAAACTCGCTGATTTAAAAGGACAGTTGGATTAAATTCTGTCTCTGTAAATGGAACAGATTAAAGTTTTTGCAAGCCCTTATGGAGTTTTAGAGGAAACAGGGAAGCAAATTTGCATCTCAAAGCAGAGACAATGTAAGCATTTTCAAGGAGTTTAGATGTGTTAGAGGTAGATTAAAAGTGGATGCCAGGGTAATGCAAAAATCATAGGAATTCACTAGAAGGTTTTACAAGGAAATACATAGATGAGCCTAGAAAATTTTCAGAAACTGGGGTAGGAGGCAGGTCTCAACTTGGAAGGTGGGGTTTGGACACCAGACCAATTTGAAGACTAGCAGGTCCAGAGAGGGAGCAGCTTTCCATAAAACACACCCACCAGTGTGCCATGTCATTTACCATTGCTATGACAACACAGAAAGTACTGCCCCTTTCCATGGCAACAACTGGAGGACCCAATTGTTCTCCCCTTCATCCTAGAAAGTTCTACATAAACCACTCCTTAATTTGCATAGTATTAAAAGCGGGTGTAAATATGAGAACAGACCCGCCTCTGAGCTGCTACTCTGCTACTCTGGGCTACTATGGGGTAACCCTGCTTCACACGGAGCAGCACTTCTGCTGCTGTGCATACACTGCCACTTCAATAAAAGTTGCTGAATTCTTTCCTGGGCAAAGCTGGGAACCCTCCCAGGCTAAGCCCAGATTTGGGGGCTTGCCCCTCCTGCACGAAAACCTTTTCAAAATAGCCAGCCAAATGCCAGAAAGTTGTATTTTGAAGACCAATCGAGTTGGATAGGTGGATTTTAAAATTTAGTTTCCATTTCTTAACTGGATTACTGAGCTTGGGGTGGAGCCCATCAGCAAATAGGGCCAAGAAAGTATTTACGGTTCTCAGGGCGTAATAATCAAATACGTGAAAAGCAGGCACAGCTGGGAAGGAGAGCTAGATCTTTAAATATCAAGAATCCCACTTTTTTTTTTTTTTTTTTTTTTTTTGAGATGGAGTTTCACTTTTCTTGGCCAGGCTGGAGTGCAATAGCACAACCTTGGATCACCGCAACCTTCACCTCCTGGGTCCAAGCGATTCCCCTGCCTCAGCTTCCCGAGCAGCTGGGATTACAGGCATGCACCACCACGCCCGGCTAATTTTGTATTTTCAGTAGAGACGGGGTTTCTCCATGTTGGTAAGGCTGGTCTCAAACGCCCAACCACAGGTGATCTGCCTGCCTTAGCCTCCCAAAGTGCTGGGAAGAATCCCACTTCTCCTTTGAATCTCAGGTCCCCAAAGGAGGAAAAAATGCCATGGGTCCGGGCCACACAGTGTTTCCATAGCACTCCTTGCGACATCAGCCCATGCTGTGTCAGCCCATCCCCCACAGGAGTCTTATCCCTTGCTGGAGAGTATTTTCATAATCTCCAAGCATTCAAACTTCACCTTTCATATCTAAACACACAAAGAAACAAGTAGCCCCCTGCAGTAATAACCATTCACTGCATTTGCTGTCGGCTACTTCCCAAACTGCAGCTTTTGCTAGCGAACTTGCCAGCCATTGTACACAAAAAGGTCAAGTTCTCCCTCAATACAAAGTAATCCTTTTGTACTCCAAAAGCCAAAGAGGTCAGGAAACTCAATGCAAAAGAGAGCAGAGCTTTAGACCTGAGAAAAGCATGCCCGCAATTCTCAAGACTCCACAAGAGAAAGAGAAAACCAAACCCCAAATGAGTAAAACCGTGTGTGTGTGTGTGTGTGTGTGTGTGTGTGTGTGTGTGTGTGTGCTGGGAGCGGGGGCGGGGGCTTTTCCTGTGTTCTTTAAGGGGTCTCAGAAGTCTCGGCTAGAAGTCTCCTCTAGATTTCTCCATGTGGTATCGAAAATGGTCAAAGAAAGGAGGAGCAGAAGTGGAAGGAAATGGAAGAACAAGTCCTAGAGGAGATAATTTGGAAAGATTTTCAATTTTCTAAAAGGCCAATGAAGTTTTACATTTTTCTCAACAAAATCATGCCAACAAGAAAGGAAGCAAACAGAGGGATTAAAGGTTTTTTCAAAAGGAGTTTCAGTCAACTGAAAAAAAATTCCCAGAAACAGGATCCCAGGGAGAAAAAGTAGAAAGGCCCTTTTTGTCAATAAAAATTATAGCCCGAATATCAGCTTTTAATTAAGCTGATTTCTAACCATAGAGCTCTTTTAAAAAGTTGTTTTTGTTGTTGTTGTTTGTTTGTTTTTCAAATCTTTTATCAGACTTCAGCAAGACAAATAGAAAGCAGGTCTCCCATTCTGTTTGGTTGTAAAACAGCTTTATTTATTTATTTTATTTTCTGATTGAGTGCACAAATCAGTTGTTTTAGGCATTTCAAAGGACCTCCATTTTGGCCATTGTAATTTAGGGTCATCTGAAGTCCTGTGGTCCCATTTGTCCAAATATCTACAAGACAAAGCTCCGTAAGTGTTATACAAAAAAACTAGATGATGTTTCCAGGGGAGGCTGCCTCCTTAAGGAGTCTTCAGACTCGAATGCTTTGCACCCATAACTTAGAGGCCTGAATCACTCACAACCAAGCTCTGGCCAGTGTTTTGGGTCAAAATGTGCTGCTTGTGAGTGTAACTCCTTACTGTGTCACTACTGAGTTCAATGTCCCCTTTTTTATATGTCTCAGAAACGTTGAGTCCCCAGAGAGTCACAGAGTCCTCATGGGTGCTAAGTGACCAAACTTTTTGTGCATTTGTTGGCAGAGTGAGAGAGATTATGGATGTTCTCCCGAGAGAGAAAACCTTTTAAGGCACGAAAGTCCCAATACCCCTACCTAGTAAGTCTCTAATTATTTAGAGTGCCCTAATGGGCTGGAGGGAGCAAGTGCCTTTTATCTTTGGAGTAAAGAATCCACTCTCATATATTAGAAAAAGGGAATCTAAGAGAGGTTGGTCATGCATAAAAGTTTGATTTCCAAAATGAAAGGTCATGATGCAACAATGTCTTGGCCGAAAAAGAAAGCAAACTGCCAACTGCAGACCTATGTGTTGGCAGAAAAATATCCTTAAATAAGAAGGTCAGAGACAGAACCCTCATTCAGAGAGAGTCATAGAGAAACCGCCCGAATAAAATCTACACTTCCACCAAAGAAACGGAGGTCTGGATTCAGGAGAACTCACCTGCAACACCGATGAGATGTCCGAAGATGGAGAACGCAATGGGTCTTTGCTAGTGCCAAGCACTGCCTTCAGAGAAAAACAATGGGTGGTTGCTATGGGGGGATTCACTCTGAATCCTGCCGACTTACACCAGCTATATCGGCCTAAAGGAAAATTCATGCTGAGTTGATAGTTTACTTGGGCCAGGTTTGAGGACTGCAACCCAGAAGCATAGATTCAAGTTGCCCTCAATCTATCCTCCCAATAGCAGCAGTTATAAGTGTTTGTTTTTTTTTAATCTATTTATTTATTTATTTTGAGACTGGGTTGTAAGACTGGCTAACTTTTGTATTTTTGGTAGTGATAGGGTTTCACCATTTTGCCCAGGCTGGTCTCGAACTCCTGGGCTCAAGTGATCCTCCCACCTCAGCCTCCCCAAGTGCTGGGAATACAGGCAGGAGCCACTGTGCCCTGACTACAAGTGGGATTTTCTTTTCTTTTTCCTGGAACTTTATTTCTTCTAACAGGTACAAGTAGCCTTTTCCTTTTTTTTTTTTTTTTT